TCTGTTCCCCTTGCAGCCCCTTCCAGCTCTAAGATTTTGGGATTCTATCCACAGAATGTTTTGATGGGATTTGAAATGAGCTAGGAAGTAGAATAGAGGCACAAGAGAAGGTTTGAGGACTGAAAGAGGCAGCTTCCAAGCAAGGTTAAAGGCATTGTGTGGTACGAGAGAAGAAGATATATAAAATTGGAATCTGGGGTAGCCACTATTCAGAGATGAATATAAGATGAATCCTTGTGACTCTTTCTCAAGGCAGCCTTGCTTAAAATACCCAGCACAACAACTTTGTTTCTTGGAACTAGCTACACTGCAAAAGGGCAATGGGGCAAGGCTGGAACAAAGAGATAGCTGGCTTGTTTGCTGTAATACCGGTAAGTAAAAAAGCAGAAAATTGTTTGGGTTTTGAGATGGGACAGAGGGTCAGTCTAACCTGGAAGAACATAGTTAACAACATAGAACCTGGTGACTGGGCGGTGGCAAAGATTTGGTCCAGGCCGCACATTCATTGCTTTTCGATATACATAGATAATTGTAACCACAAAGTAAGTGTATAAAAATATCAGCTTGGCAAGAAAATGGATCCCTCTTTGAGACACCTGTATGCATACATATCTGGCTCTGCAAAATAAATTGCTTCCTGATCGAGCAACACTCAACTCTTTTTGCTTATTGGGTCTCGAGGCTGCCATCCCAAGGGAGCTGGGGTGAGAGTGGTGCCATGGCATGATAGAGAATTATGGGGCTGTTGGTGAGAAGGAGACAGAGAAGAGGATGAGAGTGCAAGCAGGCCGTGGCAGAAAACTGCATGGTGTATAAATGCCCCAGTTCACTCTGAACAGGTTAGTGTTAGTTGACATCAGACCTGGGGAGGAGTGACAGTCCATGTTTTCTTTCTTTCTTTCTTTCTTTCTTTCTTTCTTTCTTTCTTTCTTTCTTTCTTTCTTTCTCTCTCTCTCTCTCTCTCTCTCCCTCTCTCCCTGCTTTCCTCTCTACTGTCTTGGTCTCCTTTCCTCCTGATGGA